CCCTCCTACTTTCCTTCCCTGTTCCGTCACGCTCCGCCTCTCCCGTACCGCCCCTCCCCGTCAAACCACGTCACATGACGCCCCTTACGTCACGCCTCTCCCCATCATTCCCCTCCCTTCACTCCTCTCCCCGTCACGCCACTACCCATCACGTCCCTCCCCGTCAAACCACTACATTTCACGTCCCTCTCCATCACCCTCTCCCCGTCTCTCCGTCTCCCCGTCACGCTGTTCCCCCTCACGCCACTTCCCGTCACCTCTTTCCCCACCACATGGTTTCCCGTCACTCTACTCCCCGTCACGCCCCTCCCCGCCCCGCTTCTCTGTATCCACCTCAGCCCTACTTCGCTCTTCCAATCGACCACGCCCCACCCAGCCCCATTCGCCCTACCTATATCGCCTTCAATTCCTTCCGCTCCTCACCACACCACATCCCTTCGCGACCCACTCGCACTTCTCTTTCCCTCTCCTGCTAACCAAACCATCCCTCTTCCTCGCAGCCCTTTTCGACCAACCATCCACCGCAACCACCTCCTCCTCTCCCTTTCTCCTCTCCTCTACACTCCCTCCATCCCTTCCTTCCTTCCTTTCCTGTCCCCTCCTCCTCATCCGGTGGCCGCAGTCACAGCCGACGCATTATCATAGGGGCCGTGTTTGACTTCCATTACATCGTTACGTGCGGCGGCGTGAAAAAGGCGCCTGTGGCGGGGGTGGAGGCGGGGGCGGCGGATCGACAAAAGGCGCATCGGAGCGCGACATCGCCCCCCAACGCCCGCGCTCCCTTCCCCGCTTCGCCCGCTGCGAAAGAGCCCCAAGGCGCGGGGGCGGACGACCTTGCGACATTCTCCCCCGCCCCGCCCCCACCGCTCACGGAAATTCTTCGCCGCCGCCGTAAGAACAAGCACACGCCACCATTGTTATGCCACGTACTTGTCTCGCTGCTGATATTTTCGTTCTCGCATTTCGCTGGAAAATATGTTTTGTACACGAACAATGTTTTCGTTGATGTGTGCGGCTGTTTAGTTAACAAATAGTCATTTTAGCTTTAACATAAGGAAACTTGTACTTCTTTCACGTGCGTTAGCGTATAGCATTGTCGCAATGCGTGGAAATCGTATCGCAATGCAAATGAAATAATGAGTGCAACAAAGTAAATAAATCACCGGGGTGATAGGAATCGACAATTCACTCATTCGTTAGATTTGCGTTGTGTACCAGTTTCTTAATTAACTATTCTGTTGGCCTGGATAGCAGAGGTCGTGGCGGCCGAGGGGCCATAGCTGCGTGGGCTAGAAGGGTCTAGGATTCGAATTCCGCCACGGACATATGTATGTGATGTTCGGATGTATGAGTTGTTCTTATTGTCCTGACGTGATCCTCTACAGTTAAAACGATTACAGTGGTCTCTAACAAAATTTTTAAAAAGCTGCTTTAAAAACTATTCTTTTCATGTACGATAGTGGCGAAGAAGGGAAAATTGACAAAAAGGTGGAAATTGAGAAATACCAGTAATATAGTGCTTTTATTTTCTATACAAACAGGGTTTTGAGGCATTAATAGATATTTAAATTTCTTTACGACTTAAGGAATAGATTCAGATTGTTGAAGAAAAACTGTATCAAATGCTAGTAATTCGGTTGGCAAATGACTTTGCAAACGTATATTTTATGTAATCTTATCCTTTTTTGCACTAATACGATCTCTGGAAGTATTGGCGGAGAATTCCATTCCAATTTGGAAAGTCAATGCACTTTCTGTATGACAGAGTTGTGATTGGGCCCAAGTTTTGTTTAGTGACTCACATACCCGTTTATTCATGGTTCTTCCGAACTATTTCATGAACTATTTCGTGACTAACTTTCTCCGGAATTCTATTTGACTCTCAACGTAAGGCGCCAAACTTTAACATGAGTTGCAGTAGTGACGTAGGTAATCATTCTTTAATTTTCACGGTACTCTTCAGAATCCATGAAATGTAAAGATCTTCCGTCTTTCTCTACAAACGAAATTCATTTTATTTTCCCTGCTCAGTTTACTGTCTAGTTTTATTCCTAATTATTTGCGAGCGGTGACTAGAGATATAATATTCTTCAGTGTGTACCCGGTTTCAATCTAATTTCCAACTCGTTCCATGATATCGCTCTACGTTCCATCGAGTGGCATCACGTGACTGTTGCATAGTCTCAATCCCGCATCCGAACACGAAAACACCACCTCCCAGACACGCTGAGAAAAGACGCAGAATTGTTAGGGAACTCTATTGGTACGAATCGCAAAATAAACATCAATACTACCAACTAAGTTCGCCGACTGAGGCCGCTCAAGTTATAAATTGAATATTGGTCACTGTAGTGCCTCTGATCGGGAGGGTCTAAAGTTCGAGTTACGCCGATGGTAATATTCCAGCTAGGTCGAATTAAGACGCCGTCTAGAGGGAAATTCTAGCGAGCGGCTGCTCTGATCGGTAGTTTTGCGTGGTGTCTCTAATTCCAGGCGAATGCCGGAGCACTGCTGCCCACAGGTCACCCGCGATCTTCCTTTCTTCTTCCTTGTCCTATTTACACCCATTATGAACACACACTTAACCTTACATGCCCAACTGTACTACTCAAGAAGGCCAGTCTAGATCTTTGAGTTCGTCCCGGCTCGGGAAACGCACAGCTGGTAGGAGATACCTCGCTCGATAAACACGGGATGTCGACGTGTAGGTCATCACCGGACCTCACCATCAGAGAGGAGAGATCGCAGCAACCCCCGACCTTCATGCACTACACGTACGGTACTAACGGCTAAACAAGTTGTCTAGCCATTCACGATTACTTACTTTCACTACTACCGGATTCATCCACCGTATCCCCAAAACTTATTCTTTTTCCTGGTTAATTAAGATTTCTTATGATTGAACCCAGTATCTAGAATACATATGTTGATAATCTCAGTATATTATTTTAATTGTATAACCTCTCACGGATAATGTCCCCCTCCCTTATCTGTATTTTTCTATTATATATTTTGCCTTTTTCTTATTCTGTATTATTTTTCTGTTGCATTTATTAAGTAATCAACACTGCTGTACAGAGAAGGGGGAAGAATACCTGGAACGGGGAGGGGGCGCGAGCAGACTGAAAGGCCCTTCTCTATACAAAGTAAATTGAACGCCGCACCGGGCCGTGAGAGGGGAGGCGGAGGATGACAAAGTTACAAGAATTTCATTGCACATACGATTTATTGATATTTAATTTCGAATCTACGTGAATGGGATGATATGACTAATGAAATATTATTTACAGAAATGAAATTGAATGAATGATATAAAATGGATGTTCTTCGTCACTTCTATGTTACTTATCACCGTGAAGGTCGTGCACGTTGTCACACTACACGTCCATGGGCACACGGTGTTGCCGAATACCTGCTGCTGGGTGGCTGTTGTGTCGTGGATGGAACAACTGCCTTACAACTATTTGAGCACTGTATCTTTGACTTGATTGTACATATAACAATCACACCTTCCCGCTCTCTCAGCTTGTTCCCAATTTCACCTCTCTGTAGTGATCACCTCACAGCCATCTGGTTTCGCCCTCGTATGTTACTACACGTCAGTGCTTCTGTACCTCTTCACACGCCGTCTCCTCTCCGCATCTCAGCCTGCTCCCACCCGGCTGACACGGCCTCTGTCTGCGGGCGTGGCGTCTCAAAGGCGCCGCGCAGAGGCGAGGCAGGGCGAGGTCGCGCTTCCTGATTGCCGGCGGCGCATTTAGTCAGGACCATCTCGCGCCAGGTGCCGCCGCCCCCACCCCACCCTCCATTCCACGCCACGCCACGCCACGCCACCCAAACCTTTCCTTCTTCAACGTAATCTTTTTAAAACTTGTCAAGTTACTGTTTTTCTTCTCTAATTATTCTAAAATTCATTTGAAAATTTGCTGCTGTTTGTCATTCATGCAACTCTCTCTCTCTCTCTCTCTCTCGTCTCTCTCTCTCCTCTCTCTCTCTCCATAGTTCCTCACTTATTCGACAGCGAATACTATTTAATACTCTTTCGGAACAGGATACTTACTTTTCAGCCCCTCAATGCAGTCCCATGCATGCGCCTTTCATGCCAATCATCAAGAAAACGTTTCGCGTCATGCATCATTTAATAATAAATCCTGCGGAAAACCAACAGTTTAGATGTGGATCAACATTCTCACTGACCACTACAGTTCACCGAAATATCTCTTTGTGCGAGACCACAATTACCTCTACCCTGTCAGCATTGACAGCCGTCCGTGAGCACAACTACGCGAACAACTTTTGGCGGGAGAGCAACCTTAACAAGCACACGCCCCTCCCCCCCCCGCTTCCATGGCCCCCTGCAGTAAGATGGCGTCGGCACCAGCGGGGCCTCGCGGCGACGGGAACCGCCATCTGAGAAAACTAGCGCTGCCTAAACACGGCGCCTTTCGCCGAAAGCGGGGGGGCGTAGGAGGCCAGAGTTCGCGAGGGTGGTTGGGAGAGGGGCTTCGGGAGAGAGCGGAGCGAGGGAAGGGACTTGGAATGGAGGTCGGGCACGAAGTATGGACGAGATCGGCCGGAGGTCGATGCGAGCGGTAGGACCGGAGGTCGGCTGCGAGTCAGGACGGAGGTCAGTCTGCAGTCAGTTCCCAAGAAGGATAGAGAGGTGGGCACACTATTAAGGTAGCCATACACGTACAAGAAATCTCTCAAGAAAAAAGGCATTCTGGTTTTTCTTTAGGATTTCCTGTACTGAACCGTAACCACATATGGAGGGGTTTTTTAAAGGAAAAAATCCAAGAAATTTCCAGGAAACGACTTTTTCCACGTCAACGCCCATAATTGTGCATTTATCGAATCATGATAATTCTAAAGTAACTTTCCTCCAGCAAAGATTCATTCTCAAGCATTTGGATGATTCTGTAAATTTTGTTGAGACAAAGGCTGATGCATGAAATCTTCAAGAAAGTCTGAGCATCAACTCAGAACGTGATCAAGAAGAATCCGAGAAATCCGGTCTATCGCGCCTCACGGGCCAAAAATATTTGGTGTTTGGGTTAAAGATTTTTCGGCCTCTCGCCGTTCTCCGCATCTTTCAAGAAAACTACCACACACCACTTGAAGATGGCAATCTGTTCGGGGTCTTCAAAACCTTGATGAAAATTCCCCCACTCGAGATATTGGGCCTTTTAGGATGGCCGGAGAGGCTTAGGAAAGTGGTGAACGGGAGAAATAGGGGCGAAAAGTCTGTCCGGTGTGGACGTAACCAAAACAGTACTAGCATATCGCCATTACATGGCGAATAAGGGGCTGCGGCTCGGCGCGAGGCTGGCGTGGCTGGCGTGATGCGTGGCGCGTGATGTGGGTGCGAGGGCCGGTGGGCGGGAGCGCGTGCGGGCGGGTGGCGGTGGCGGGGTGGTGTGTGAACGGAGGCGGTTGGCGTGGTCGTGGCGCTGCGTGGCTGGCTGGCTTGGCGTGGCGTGGCGTGGCGTGGCGTGGCGTTGGCGTGGCGTGGCGTGCGTGGGCGTTGGCGTGCGCGTGGCGTGCGTGGCGCTGCGTGACGTGGCGTGGCGTGGCGTGGCGTGGCTGGGTGGCGTTGGCGTGGCGTGGCGTGACGTTGGCGTGGCGTGGCGTGGCGGGCGTGGCGTGGCGTGGCCGTGGCGTGGCGTGGCGTGGCTTGGCCGTGCGTGGCGTGGCGTGGCGTGGCGTTGGCGTGCGCGTGGCGTGGCGTTGGCGTGGCGTGGCGTGGCGTGGCGCGTGGCGTGGCGTGCGTGGCGTTTTGCGTGGCGTGGCGGGGCGTGGCGGGCGCTGGCGGGCTGCCGTGGCGTGGCGTGGCGTGGCGTGGCGTGGCGTGGCGTGCGTGGCGTGGCGTGCGCGTGCGTGGCGTGGCGTGGCCGTGGCGTGCGTGGGCTGGGTGGCGTTGGCCGTGGCGTGGCGTGGCGTGGCGTGGCGTGGCGTGCGTGGCTGGCGTGCGTGCGTTGGCGTGGCGTGCGTGGCGTGGCGTGGCGTGGCGTGGCGGTGCGCTGGCGTGGGTGGCGTGGCGTGGCGTGTCGTGCGGCGTGGGCCCCCCCGGCGTGGCGTTGGCGTGCTTGGCGTGGCGTGCGTGGGCGTTAGCGTGGCGTGCCGTGGCGTGGCGTGGCGTGGCGTGGTGTTGGTGTGGTGTTGGTGTGGTGTGGTGTGGTGCTGGTGTGGTGTTGTGTGTGTGGTGTGGTGTGTTGGTGTGCGTGGTGTGGTGTGGTGTGTTATGGTGTGGTGTGGTGTGGTGTGTGTTGTGCGTGTGGTGGGGCGTGGTGGGCGTGGTGGGCCGTGGATGGGCGTTGGCGAAGGGCGTGGCTTGCGTGTGCGGGCGTTGCTTGGCGTGGCTTAGGCGCGGTTGGCCGGGTGGGGCGTGCT